GAATAGAGAGCAAGGCGCAGGAGGGCGGCCTAACAGTACGATTTCGTTTGGAATACGCGTTACAGATCCGCGTGGCATAGTGTGTTATCACAGATCAGGTGGTAGCGTTCAAGTAAAGTCTAGCCCCTGGCATCCAACATTCCACGCAACCACTGCGCACACTCTTCCTTGCTGAAACTTCCTCTCACGATGGTATACTCTGCCACGCCATCGGTCATCAGGTCTCCAATAAGATGAAGGTTCCGCCCACGATTGTTGGGCGCTTAACACTCTGCAAGCGTTCCACGCGGTGAAAGGCTTCTGGTACGAGGACAAAAGAGATCAAAGTTTGATTCCTCAATCCACACCGCTCGTCCCCTTTCGACCTTCGATTGCAGTGGTGCCAGGACGTAGAATTTTCCTCGCCTTTTGTTCCAACGTGTGTTGGCGGATCTCGGAACTGCAGTTACAGCCTCCGTCCAAGTGTCGTACTATTGCGATAACACTCATTTCAAGCACGAACTATGTTTTCAACTGAAGGGAAAATGTTTGGAGAGTGACCGCGGGTTCCGAAGACACCCATTCTACCAGGCAGTCAATGTAGTTTTCTGCCAGGGATCTTCGTAGCCCCCACCATGCCTCTTACTGTTCGATTGATTCCACTCTTCATATCCAACAGTGGCAGATTTTCAAGTTAGCGTATAGCAAACCTGCAAGTTGTTCCCAGTCGTCTCCCTCCTCATAAGTATTCTGCCCTTACCCTCCGCGGAGTGGCGTGTATGGGTGCGTTCTTGTCGCATTCTGAGGACAACACGCTGTAAGTTACCCAGCTGCTTTACATAGATAGTTGTCTGCGTAATAATCGTGATACAAGACATATATGGCACATATGAAAAGTGGACATCATATGCATCGGTCGCTGCCAGAAAAGGTAATCATGACTACACGTGCCGGGGTCGGTAAAACAGATATGGCACAGCATCATTTGCTATCACCAGTAACGCCCACAAATCCATAGAAAGTAAAAGGATCTAGTCATCTTAAGCCACGTGTGCATTAACATTCCCGAATCTAGATACAATACAATAAGTGGTAAACTGGTAGACGAGCTTAATCAATTGGACTCCATCTGTAATGTTATTGTTGTCCTTGCTAACCCCACTAAGCTGAAATGCATCGCGCGTTACCCAAACTCATTGCACTACGGTGAGCCTGAATTATTTCGAGTAACACTAAATTCCACGGATGAGAAAGAGGTCATTCTACTGTCTGTGAATCGACTTCACATGCATCAAACAGAGTGCGCATACTATCAGACATCCCGTAAAACGAACGTGCAAAAGATATGAACAAACAAGATGCCTGTTCGAAAATAGTATGGAAGTCGAAGATGAGCAGGGCTATATCACTGTCAACTGTCAGTCATGCAGGTCCGCCGCTGTCACCCATGGCGAAGTGGCACTAGCTGCTGGCATCCGGAAGTCATGGAGGCGGAACGCGGCAGTGGTCCGTTGGAAGGTGCACCCATGACGAGACCCAGAATGTTGAAACACCGGTGTCTGATGATTTTCTAGACCAGTCAAAGCCTGCTGATTGAAAGTGGACCGTGATGAACTATATCCAAAACGGTACTTGTCCACGGGTATTCCCCAGTCTCCAGCTGCCTCTTACGCCGAAGCTCAGTCACAAGACCTGGAGCAAGGGAGATATATTCTTGAGGCACTCTTCCTTGATGTCGTTGCCACTTCGTTGACAAGGATTCCCGCGTCCCCTAATTACAAAGGCTATGGTCCTATATTGTTGCAGTTGGTTTTACGTTCTGAGCTGATCCTACTGACCTTCCTAGTGAAATGGGCTAAGTTCCATAAAATGCTACTAAAAGAAAGTTAACTGAAGTCATCGGGAACACGACTACGGGTTACGGATTACTCATTGGAGATGGCAAATCCAGCGAAAACACTCGTTATGCAGTCCAGCGGAGCGACTAATCTGACAGCCATCATAACATCCAGAGGAACATCGCAGAGTGCACGTGACTAACAGCGTCATCATGACCTGGAGTGTTTGGTGTGTAAATGTGTCCCAACTCCATCGCGAGATCCGGTGACTCTTCAGAAAACGATTAGCAGCTTACGAGGGTCGGCCATGTTAAAAACCTGGCTTTTACTCCTTACAGCCATTTTTTTAGCATGTAAGACACTCTTGTTTTTAAACCAACGCACAAGACCTTCTCGGCAAACTGATAGAGCTTCGGCTACGTCATACTACGATGTCCTAGGACCTCATCATAGTAACCGAGAAGTAGTTGAGTGAAGTCATTACGCACACCGAAATCGTACTACCCGGAATGCTCATTCTGTGCAGGGATCGGCCGAATAGAGGAGCTGGTATACTACGCTGTTACCACAATAATCTAAACCTTTATCTCATCGATGACCTGGATGTCCAGATTGTCGATGCGATTTTGCACTGTATTTAGCTATGAAGTGGTGTCCCATGTTTAGTGGGCATTGTGTAGCGCCTTCCATCATCCACTTCGGAAATGCACAATCGCCTAGCTTCCACTATGAAAACTATCCTCGCACAGGCTCACAGTCACATCCTCCTGGTTGGTGATTTCAATCTTCACGTCCTAGAAACTCCAGCCTGTTTCGATGAGAACTTCACATTGGGATTATAGGTATGAAACAATGGATTTCCACTATACGACCACGTCACCTCCCGCACAAGATTCAGGACGGGGAACGAACCAAGTATCCTCGATCTCGTGTTCACCAACGAGGAGCTTATGATCGAAAAGGTATCGATAGCTACTTAATTGGGCCGCCACGATCATGCAACATTCTTGTTTAACTACATCTGTTATGCAGAGTATTCCGCAGAAAACGTCAGCTCTCAGCTTAGTACGGATTCCGCCGTTCTGACCACACTCATTAATGCAACTGTCTGGTGGTTTCTAGCTGAACTGTCCCCCGATGTCACCTGGTGGGATTTTGTCCATCGATTCAACAATTGAGTTACCAGTGCCTCGAGAAATATGTCCCGCACGATGAAAGCAAAGCCATTCGCATGCACAAAAAAGCGAAAGTGCATGATCACAAGAAATTCACCCTGGCGAAAAGTCAAGGAGTCGTCAGGTGCCGAAAAAATGGAAGCCTACACGATCCAGCGAAATTATCGCGCGAATCTGGTACGCGAGGATAAGCTAGGGCACCAACAGGATCTAGCTGACAGATTCTCCTTAAACCCCAAGCTCCTTTACAGACATGTTAACAAACGCCGTGAAGTGCAGCTAGGGAGTCTTGCCCTCCACACGCCAAGTGAGCGAGCACAAACTACAACAGAAGCTGCCAAAGCCCTATGTCAGCAATTCTCCAGAATGTGACTTCTTAGGAAGGACTTAGCCATATCCTATTTACGGCTACAGATGTTCTGAAAAGGCTAAATTCCCTACGCAAACATACATCTCCTGATGCCGATGATAGCGGAGCAAAGGCGCTGAAGTTAGCTGCATTTAATTTGGCGGATGCATCTCTCAGTTATTTCAACGATGCCTCGACGAGTATGGGTTCGCACAACGTGGAAGCACGGGATCGTCACTCCCATTCACATGGAAGTAAATTGTGCAGATACAGTCAATTATCGCCCAATAACACACCTTCCGGTGCTATCCAAAGTTACGAAGTCTATTGTTCCCGATGCGCTCATGAATTACTTGGAAGGATGCAAAGTCATAGCGTTCGAACAGCGTGGATTCCGCCAGAACCGGTCTTGTACTACAAACCTGGCGGTGTGGGAGTTGACGCAGTCTATCTGGACTTCTCAAAAACATTCGACCGTCTGAACTACCGCATACTCATTCATAAGCTTCAGAGCTGTGGAACTGATAACCCAATTATCAATTGGATGGGTAACTTTTCGATTCAACGGCATCTAAATTTGAGGATTCGCAGCGCCATATCTGACCCCTTCGATGTTCAGTGCGGAGTGCCACAGGGCTCAGTAGTTGGTCCACGCATATTGCTGATTTACAGCAACGATCTCGCAAGAATGAACACTTCCAATTTCCTACTCTTTGCTGATGACCACAAGATATGGCGAGCCATCAAAACAATGGGTGAGCACGTAACGCTTCAAGATGACGTTGTTAGAGTATACGAATGGGGGACTCAGAACTTGCTTCATTTCAATGTCATCAAGTGTAAGACATTGAGCATATGTTGTCAATCCACTTACAACTACAGGCTGAGGGTCAAAACTTTGCAGCGTGATTCTACTAAACGTGGGCTAGATGTGATAGTACAAGAGGATCTTGGCTGTTCACGTCAGACCGAGAAGGCGTCCGAAATAGCTACCCAACACCATGGCTTTTTGCAGAGAGTATGCGAGCCTTCTGACCCTTCAATCTTCTCTCAGATGCTCAATACTTACATCAGACCCCATTCGAATACGCCATTCACGAATGGTAGTCAGGGCACAAGCATGACCTCACCAGCACTTGAACTGCCACAAAGAAGGACGCCTAAGAAGGTAAATCGTCTCTTCCATATCCCTTACCTGCGTGGTGATTTGATAATGACATATTTGCTCATGAGGAATTCAAACCATGCTTGTATTCACTATCTGAAGCTAAATCACAGAACCACACTGAGAAGCCGCCAGCTAAAGCTGACCACACAGTATAGCCGGTTGGAATGCCGCCGAAAGTTCTTTTCACTTCGCGCGTGCCAAACTTGAAATGTCCTCTCCAGGTCCGTCGTTTCTTCCGCCACAATAACGATACTCAAAAACATCTCGATGATGTACGCACACGTGTACATTTCGTCACATAACCCTGTAGGTCTGGGAGTCATATAATGCTACAAATCAACGGTGCTAATTTTCCCTTCTTAAACAGCACTTATTAAATGCCACCACTGTGGAAACTGGATTTTCGTATCCCATCGGCCCAACAAAACCCTTCAGTTATGCGTCATTTCCTTGAGTCCATATGACACGTAAGTCCGGTAAAAGAACATGATAAAGGTAATCCCCAATGGCGTAGTTAGGGCAACGAAGTGTTGGGAGCTACCAATAAGATTCAATCGCCTTTTTGAAAATGTGCAAAGAAAGGGAAAACAAAACGGAGTCTGGAACAGGGTTCCAGGGTTGGTAAACCCGTGGGGAAAAGTAATTCCGTCTACATTATACGTGATGGAAGTGTCAGATCAGAGTGAGCGGATGGACCAACCGAGCAAGCCAGACAGCCAATGGGAGGCGGGCGTAACGGATTCGATTACTGGACTCGGATTGGCCGACAACCGTGTGAGGGATTCACCGTTTCTTTAACTGTAGCAAAGGAGGAACCACATCGAATTAGAAGGGTCGTTAGTTATGGAATTGAACTTGTAACATATATCGAAAAATTGGGCCTGCCAAACATGCTGCACTGTTCACCGACTTGACTGCAAAATAAACGCTTGTCTTTGAAGGACTGCGTTCTGCTACACTTTAGACGATTATATTTTTCCTTCAGTGTTAAAATGCTACTCCTGAGCTGCGCGTTGTGGCTAGGTTTCAGCCAATGGCGGTATACGTCGTTAAGGTCACTTAATATTTGGTACGCCAATATGAGATCGCCACGCAGCCATCAGTAGCGCCTACTGAAAACCCTCACCAACTCCAGCTTTCGGTGGTAAGGGTGCTTACGTAGGTATTATTTGCGGCGATATTACGATTCTTGAACATGAGTGTAGGTGTGATTTGGGTTTGTGACACTGACACCACTTCCATGCAAAAAACATGTGAGTAAACTGGGAATAATATGTCCTGCGATGTCGCAAGAATCGGCTAGAATTTAACATACAACGCAACCAGACGGAGTTTTCGTACGCCCACGTCGCGCTTGCAACCAGCACCGATTAAGCGTGAGGGTGACATAAAAACCATCGGACTTGTAAGGGGGCCTACGAATGCACACGTTCGCTGTGTCCGGACATCAAAACTCACAGATAATGGGTTACGAATGATGGGCGGCTAGGTATATATATATATATATATATATATATATATATATATATATATATATATATATATATATATATATATATATATATATATATATATATATATATATATATATATATATATATATAAATGGTGGAAGAGTCTATGGTGCGCTGATGCTGGTGGTGGCCAGATCCTGACAGATGATCTACCCACTGCTGCTACTGTAGCGCCATTGGCTCATGTCCTGCACGCCTCCACGTGGCGACCGCTGGGTGGGAGTTGGGTTTCGCGCTTCTCCCTGCTAAGATCCAGGACACCAATCCGCATGAGTCAGTGAACTGACCATGTGCTAGACCCGCTACCTTTCGGGTGTACATTTAATCGAAGGCTTTGGCTAAGGATCCGAGTCGTTCTCCTGTCAGGTGTTGGCGCCCTGCCAGTATCCTGGTCCATCCTCTTCGGAGGTTAGGAAGTGGTAGATGGCCCTCTTCCCTTAAAACCTAGCCATGGGAGACAACAGGTCTACGGGTTATAAGCTCACAGCTCAATTGGCGAAGAGCACGAGTGCCACGCATTTTCTCTGACGGTGGGAGGGCACCTCTGGGTGTTCAATGGTTTGCTACTGCCCGCCTCAAGCCAGGCAGCCCATGGTCAAAGGGGTGCAAACCCGCCAAAACCCACACTCGACTGGCAGTGGTCGCAGGTGTCTCCTAATAGCATATGTGAATCGTTCCAGTACCTCAAAGGCTGCTTGTGACAGCCGTCAAGCAGATCCCAATCTGTCTCTGAAATCACATTCCCCAGCTCGATCTGCTCTCCACTGCCTTGTGCGTCAGGCTATTGAGCCAAAGGCTCCGGGCGGGGTCCCTCAAGCAAACCTCCAAACCACCCACTGCCTTGTGGGTCAGGCTATTTAGCCAAAGGCTCCGGGTGGAGTCACTCAAGCAAACCCCCGAAGCAAAACGACCACCTCGCGTGCGATTGCCCACCAACGCAATCGTATGCTTGCGCGCAAAGCACTTAGCATCGGGTGCTGGAACGTGCGCACACTACTGCACCGAAACTCGAGTGAGCGTCTCGGGCGACGCACTGCACTGGTCGCGATGAAGCTGGCGAGTTACCACATCGATATTGCGGCGTTCAGTGAAACTCGGCTCGCTGAGTAACGTAAGTTGCATGAAGCAGGTGCTGGCTACACATTCTACTGGGTGGGGAACACCGCCTCAGCACCACGTGCTCATGGGGTAGGATTTGCAATATCCGATCGCCTCCATGACCAGCTGGTGGGTGAACCAACAGGCATCAACGCGCGACTGATGACTGTTCGCCTACGATTCGGAAGAGATAAGTTTGCCACTTTTATAAGCACGTACGGTCCGACCATGTGTTATCCTGATGACACGCGTGATCAAGTCTACACTCAGCTATCTCCATTGATACTGTCTGTGCCGAGGAGTGACCGACTATTGCTGCTGGGTGATTACAACGCGCGCGTTGGGTCTGATGCATCGGTGTAGACAGATGTTATCGGTTCTCATGGCATTGGTTCAGCGAATGCGAACGGTGACAGCCTGCTCTCACTGTGTGCCACTCACGGCCTGACGATCACGAACACTCGGTTTGCACTGAGTGTGAGTGATATAGCAACTTGGACGCACCCACGGAGTGGTCACGCTCACCTGCTCGACTATGTCATCGTACGTCAGCGTGATATGCGTGAAGTGCGCATGACACGCGTACTGCGTGGAACTGAGTGTGACACTGATCACAAATTGGTGAGGACCAGACTGTATATATATTTTCGTGAATCTACGTACTGCACTCCCGCCGTGAATCGGCGTAAATTTAACATTCTCTCCCTCGGTACTGGGTCGAAACGTATTGAGCTGGAGAAGGCGATGGCTGCACGTCTGTGTGGTGATGTGGACTGCATAGCCACAGTGGGCGACCTGTGGCACCACATTCGCGACCAGGTGACAGCTGATGCCGAGGAGACCACCGGGCGCGCAAACTGTAAGCGGCCTGATTGGTTTGATGACAACAATGTGACCATTGTCGCATCGGTGTCAGAGAAGAATGCAGAATTTACTGCTCATGCCGCAGAGTCATTTTCGCAAACTTCGACGGCGACTGACCCGAGAGCTCCGTCGCATTAAAAATGCATGGTGGAGGGTGAAGGCGAAGCAGATGGAATGCTACACCGAACGCCGTCAACACAAGGAATTCTTTGACTCGTTGGAGGCGGTGTATGGACCGAGATTGGAGCCGCTGAGGACACGGATCGATGGTAGCTCAGGCGTTACCTGTACGCAGACTGCAGACATAATGCAGATCTAGCGGAAACACTTTAACTGTCTCTTGCACAACCTTTCGGGGACCGACTGGCTTACATTGAACGGCCTCAGGCAGCACGATGTGGAGGTGAGTCCGGCGGACATGCCGACACTGGATGAGACGCAAAGAGCACTTGTTCAGCTGCGAAAAGGCAAGTGTGCCGGTGCCGACGGGATCTCGCCTGAAGTATTGAAACACGGCGGACCCGCGTTGTTGACTGCGCTGCACCACTTGGTGCAACGCGTATGGATTGAGGAGGAGGTGCCTCCTGAGCTGAAGGATGCCCTTGTGATACCACTGTACAAGGGTAAAGGGAGCAAGCAATGTTGCACGAATTATCCTGGCATCAACTTGCTGAGTTGTGTGGGCAAGGTGATTGCCCGAATCCTGCTCAATCGCCTCTTCATTCAGGTTGTGGAAGCTAACGTGGCGGAAGAGCAATGCGGATTCCGTTCGGGTCGCAGCACTATAGACATGATGTTTGCGGTTCGTCAGTTGCAGAAGAAGTGCAGAGAACGACACCAGCCATTGTACTCGCTTTTTGTTGATTTCACCAAGGCATTTGATATGGTGAACCGCGAGGCATTGTGGCTGGTGTTGGGTAAGTTTGGTTGCCCGCGTAACTTTGTAAGTTTAATTGAATGTCTGCACAGTGGTATGCGGGCGACGGTGCAGCTGAGTGGAGAGACCTCGGATGACTTTGCAGTTGTCTCTGGTGTGAAGCAAGGCTGTGTCTTAGCTCCTGCCCTGTTTAATATATATCTTCATGCAATGTTGTCCTGTGCTTTTGATTCCGCTTGTGCTTACGGTGTTCGTGTGGAGCACCGTATTGATGGTGGGTTGCTGAACATCCGTCGTTTCGGTGCGAGAACTCTAGTCTGTGAGACAACTATCCGTATGTTGCTGTTTGCTGACAACTGTGCGTTGTTTGCGCACAGCGCGAATGAGTTGCAGCACATGACTAGTGCTCTGGCTTCGACAGCGACCAAATTCGGGCTCACCATCAACATAAGCAAAACTGTCTGTCTCTTTCAGCCTTCACCGGAGGTGCAATCTTCAATACTGCTGCGAATCAGCATTGGTGCTGAAGTATTGGAAACCACCTCCCGCTTCTGCTACCTTGGGAGTGTGATGTCGACTGATCAGCAGCTACACAGTGAGCTGCGTATCCGCGTCTCGAAGGCAGCGGCAGCATTCGGGAAGCTAGAGTACCGAGTGTGGAACAACCATCAGCTTACCATTGGCACGAAGCTGATGGTGTACAAATCCATGGTACTGTCCGTTCTTCTATACGGCAGTGAAACGTGGACGATGTACCGTCGAGATGTGTGATATCTTGAGCGGTTTCATCAACAGTGTCTGCGACGAATTTTGCGCATCAGTTGGGGCGACAGAGTTGCTGACACGGAAGTGTTGCGACAAAGTGGGATGTATGCAGTGGACTGCATACTTTTACTGAGACACCTGAGGTGGCTCGGTCATGTGAGCCGTATGGATTCAACGCGGATACCGAAACAACTCTTATACGGTCAGCTGCGTACTGGGAGGCAGCATGTTGGGAAACTAAAGTTACGTTACAAAGACATGATTAAAGTGAGCCTCACACGTTCTAATCTTGGTTGCAGGTTATGAGACTCGAAGGCGTTTGATCGGCTTGCATGGCGCGATCTGATCACGAAGGCAGTTGCCGAAGTGCGGTAGAAAGACCTCATACATGCAGAGAAGAAGCGGCAAGTGCGGAAGCGGCAAGCACCGATGGGTTGTACTCCATCGACATCGAGCGCATGGTGCTGTAGTACATGCGGTCGAGAGTGCCTGAGTCAGGCAGGCCTAGTGAGCCATGAGCGAGGTCACTCGGGACCACTACCGAAGCGACGACGGGTCCTGCAGAGAACGTAGGCAGAACCGGCGCAGCGTTTGTAGGTACGCTGTATTCGATTTACTAACCGTGTGCTTGCATGCTAAGTCTCTTTATTTCAGGTGGTGGGTTTTCAATTTTGTCCTAA